AATTCTTCCTAAGCAACAGCATATGCACCCTGCAGATCCTGTCTGCCTGCTAGCCAGACATACCCTGCTCATTAGATTCATTCACTGCTTTTTGACAGATTCAAGTAGCCCTTCTTTTAAATAATTATGGTCCCCAAAACTTAGGAACACAGCAATGCTAGGAATTGTAATTTGCCAAAGCTGTAGAATACTTCCTATGAGTGAAAAAGTCCAAGTTCCTCATTGGAAAGGAAACAGAGCTGTATGCTAAGAATGCTGATGCATAATGCAAGGACAAATCTTCAGAAGAAAGCCATGCCTGTTTTGCTGCTGTGCCTAAGCACTGCCAACTGCAGAAGTTATAGTATGTGAGTTCTTGGCTAAGAAAAGACAGCAGCTGTGGGGGAAGAAGATGGACAAGATGTATTCTGGGTGAGAAGTGCCAGAAAGCACTGAGCCCAATGAAGATTTGAGCAAGTATCTCATCAAAGGAGCAACAGCAAAACACTGACTGAAAATAAGGGATGGTTTCTAGACTCACAGGCAAGTTTGGATCAAAAACATGGAAATTCCAGAGGGAAGCCACTGTAGACATTTAAGCCACTGTAGACATTTCTGCCACACCTGTGCAGAGTTAAGAAGTTGGTTCTACGGGAATGGGACAAAAGCCAAAGCAAATGCTCCAGCCGGGACAAACACAGGCTCTTCCTGAAAGAAGATGCATGTGACAATGCAGGCATAAACCCATGCAAGGGCACAGGGCAGAGGAATCCCAGAAGCATGTGGTAGTGCTGTGGTAGAGAGCAAGGCAGGCATCGTGTGCAAAGAACCCATGCACTCACAAAAGCAAAACAGGTACAGAGACAAGGAGGGGCCATATTCATATCACTTTTGTTATTTCAATTTATCATTAACTATATTTTAAACAATCTTTTACCATTCCTAATAAAGTAAAAAGCATGGTTATTCCTAGGATTGAGCACTATATGCTATATGCAGCTTCAGACTGACATCTACTGGAAGATGAAACATACTCCCCACCAATGAGATCCAATGTCATGCCTTCACTATGAAAGAAACCTGGCAGGGGCCACCTTAACCAAGAGACCAAATTTCACTCTACCCATAATAAGTCATATCGATACAAATTTACCCGGATCTGATGTGATATAATCCTGAGAAAACATTAGACAAATCCCAATTGAGATCCATTCTACAAAATACATGATCACTACTCTTCAAAAATCTCAAGTCCCCAAAGGCAATAAGGAGGAAAGGAAAAAAAGAGAGAAAGAGTACACAACAGAACATGCTGAAGAGATGGACACTGGAAGTAATGTGAGACCCTGAAAAGGATCCTTCCTAGAAGGGCACTGTTGGGAAACAAAAGCAATCAGAAGCAGTTTCAGAAACGTTGCATCCCATTCAATCACAGTTCTGATAAATAGCATGGCTGTGGGTGCTGTGTCCCACTATTCCACGCTGTCTGGCTGTTGCCACTGGTCTACGGCAGAGCAGCTGCTGTTCTACTATTTACTTTCTGACAACCAAACTCACCAGTTCATGCTAAAAATGTACTTGGGAAATTCTGAAAGGTTTTTGTTTTGTTTTGTTTTTTTTAATTTCTGTAGTTTGTTGTATTTCATCATAGACAATTTATACCATATGCTCACAACAGTATTTTATTTTCTTCTCATTTCCACATCTTTTCTTGTAGTCTCCTCCCCTCAACCTGACTCGTTTCTGACAGACCCTTTTGTACAGGACTGAATAAAAATGGTGGTATCTGACACATTTTCTTTATCTATTTATGCCCACAACTCATTTTAATTTCATCAGGATTATGGGCAAATAAGGTCCTTTGGATTTGTCTATTTCTACCACAGGGACAGTGATACCATTTTGTTTTAGTTTTCAATGCTGAAATGTTAATCTAGGAAGCACAGAAGAATATATAACACAAGAGGAAAGAAGTAACCCAAGACAAGGAGTACAATATGATACTGTTATTAAAGCAGAAAAAAACTATTGTAATAACCCATCCATACCTCATTTTCTCCTGGCATGTTGGAAAAGCTGTCACTAGAAACGTCCAACTAAAGAGTCACATTAAAAACCCTCTTCTCAGCACCAAATGTAGCCTTGTGAATAGTTCTTCCCCCAAAACATTCAGTTAAGTGACTGGAGTCAACTCCCAAGCTTCAGGTGTTTCTTGATTTTCTTTGGGTGCTAGAGCACTCAAAGGCCTGTTGTTCAAAGTCACCCATTAACCAAGCCTGGTTCTAATACAGTTTTACTAATAATAAATGAATGCAGTAAACCTGAATTGGATTTAACTCTTGTGAATTTTGGAGGCTATTTATCATAGCAGTAATTAATACCAAAACCCCAAAATAAAGCCACAATATCTTCCCAGAGTTGCTGATATAAGCAAATGAATGGCAACTACTGAAGTAGCCAGAGATAATCAGAATGAAGACAGAAAGAAAGGCAGCTGTGATGTGCAGTCACAGAACATGTTTTAAGACCCTGCTTCCCAGTTAATAAATGGTAACACTGTGAAAAGATGCTGCTAAAATCTTTTGAAAACAAAGCCCAATGAAGCACAGATCCCCTACTGTCTGTCTGCATGAGCAAGGTCTTATGAAATAATGGGCAGGAAGAACCTTCCAGAAGTCAGAATTAGTCCCAGAAAACAGCAAGCAAACAATATAGTTCCTCTTACAAGACAGAACTGGACCCTGATCAAGGATATTTCATCATGCTTCTTGCCACCCATATTCTATGCATTATCTGGTTTTAATCTCACAAGCCGCTCCAGCTCCAGGAGATTAAATACAAACTTGTAATTTGACAACTGGCCCCAATGCAATGAATTATGGATCCTACACATAAAATCATGTTGGAGAAAATAAACCTGAAGAGTCTACTGTAAAGATCACTAAGTTGGCAGTCAGGAAGCCCTGCACCTCTTCCAACTCCCATCAGTGAGAACAAAACAGATAAATCAAGGCTTCTTGGGACTTCAGCTCCTTCATTGTAAAATGTGTAAGAATGATACCTTTTAGTTCTTGAATTCTAATTTAAAATCACTGATATCACAGAGCCAAAGAACTCTACAAAATAAACATATAAAACATGGGAACCACAGTACAGCAACTACTTGATTTGAGTTCCCAGAAAACCCAACTGGGCACTTAAAACAAACAAAAACATTGGTAAGAAATCATGTGAGCAATCTGACATTGCTTTTCTGAATTGTGTTTTGACTCATCACAGTATAGCAACAAATGTAACTCTTGCATCTGCCCTCAGAAACCTCTCATGCCCTCAGTTCAGATCCTCAAGACATGCCCCAGTCCCCCACCTTGGGTGGATATTCACTGCCCAGGTGCAGGTCAGAACAGCTGCAGACTGCACCAGTTAGAGGAACAGGTGCAGGCCACATCAGTCAGAAAAACAGATCACACCAGCCAGAAAAACAGATAGGCAAACTCAGGTAGAAACTCCCTGCTGGACCAGAGAACACAATGAACAACCTCCTCCACTCTCTCAGTGCCCCTGCCCCCCAATTATCCCCAATCTCCACTTCCCTCCTCATCACAGTATCCTGCCCCCATGGGCAGAGGACCCTGCTGAACCAAAGGCCATACTAGCCACCAGAAGTTCAGCCTCCAATTCTAACACAGATGGTCTGATGAACCAGAGACCATGCAAGCTGCCAGAAATCCATGCCACAAGGGCCAGAAGACCAAAGAGGAAACAGAAACCAAGGAGCAAAATAACCATCCAACAAAGACAAATTCAGATTGGCACCTAGATCTATAATCACCCCAAACCCAGTGTAAGAACATAATCAACAATAGGCCTAACACAGGTATCTATAGAATATTTCACCCAAACACAATATATATATATATATAAATATATATATATATATTTATATATATATATATATATATATATATATATATCTTCTTCTCAGCACCTCATGGAACATTTTCCAAAAATTACCATGTACTTAGTCATAAAGCAAGGCTCAACAGATAAAAGAAAGTTGAAATACCCAACTGTACTCTATCAGGCCATCATGGATTAAAGCTAGAAATCAACAACAGAAGGCCTATAAATTCATTGAAACTTAACAGCTCTCTATTGAATGACTACTGGGTTAAGGCCAAAATAAATAAATAAATTAAAGACTTGCTAAACTTCAATGTAAATGAATGCACAACACACTCAAACTTATGGGACACAAATGAAAGTGGTGCCCAGAGGAAAAGTCATAGCACTAAGTGTCGACATAAAGAAAATGGAGAGATCTTATACTAGTAACTTAACAGCATACCCGAAAGCTCTAGAACAAGAAGAAGCAAACATACCTAAGAGGAATAGACAGCAGGAAATAAACTGAAGGCTGAAATCAATAAAATGGAAACAAAAAGAACATTAGAAAGTATCAATGAAACAGAGTTGGTTCTTTAAGAAAATCAACAGGATAAACAAACTAAAAGATAAAGAAAGAATATCCAAATTAACAAAAAATCAGAAACAAAAGGGAGGTACATAACAGACACCACACCAAGGAAATCAAAAGAATCATTAGGTCATACTTTAAAAAACCTGTATTGCACAAAATTGGAAAATTTAAAAGAAATGAACTATTTTCTCAATAGATACCACTTACCAACATTAAATCATGATCAGATAAACAATTTAAGTAGTCCTAGCTCTGAAGTAGTCATTTAAAGTCTCCCAACCAAAAAAAAAAAAAAAAAAAAAAAAAAAAAAAAAAAGCCCAGGACCAAATAGTTTTAATGCAGAATTCCAACAGAATTCAAAGAAGAGCTAATGCCAATGCTCCTCAAATTATTCCACACAATAGAAACAGAAGAAACAAATTCATTTTGAGGCCACAGTCACCCTGAAACCCAGACTACAAAAGATTCAATAAAGAAAGAGAATTACAGATCAATTTCCCTCATGGACATCAATGCAAAATTGATCAATAAAATACTCACAAACTGAATCCAAGAACACATCAAAAAGATAGTCCATTATGATCAAGCAGGCTTCATCCCAGAGATGCAGGGATGGTTCAACATATGGAAAACTGTCAATGTAATCCACCATATAAACAAACTGAAAGAAAAAAAAGCACATGATCATCTCTTTAGATTCTGACAAAGCCTTTGACAAAATACAATACCCCTTCATGATAAAGTCTTGGAGAGACAGCAATACAAGGGACATACCTAAACATAATAAAGGCAATTCACAGTAGCCTACAGCCAACATCATCTTAAATGCAGAGAAACTCAAACCAATTCCACTAAAATCACGAATAAGACAAGGCTCTTCACTCTCTATCTATTCAATGTATACTCAAAGTTCTAGCTAGAGTAATAAGACAACTAAAGGAGATCAAAGGGGTACAAATTGGAAAGGAAGAAGTCAAAGTATCACTATTTGCAGATGATATGACAGCTGTCCATGGGGGAACAGGACCAGGTGCAGAACTCATCTTCCAGTTTTCATTAGAATCCATCTAGATTTATGCATTAAATTAGTTAACAGTTAAAATAACACTACTTAATAACTAACTGATATTTTGAAAACAAAACAAAAACAAAACCCAGGGTGTAGGTCAAATACAATACATTTATGGACCAAATCTGGCTCTAGGTGTCATACCTGTGAGTCTCTGCCTTACATGTTTTGTTTGCTTCCTAAATCTATTCCTCCCTTGCATGTCAACTGGTCTGGCCCACTTGACCCAAAAAGCAGTGATGGGAGATGCCATTATGTATATTTGTTTCTTATACTAGTTAATGAATAAAGCACTGTTGGCCAATAGGAAAGGAAGATAGGAGGGACTAGGAGACAAGAAGGAAAGAGGAAGGAGTAAGGAGGGAGTCAAGATGGAGAGTCTAGAGAGAACAGAACCGCCATTCCTCCGCTCTCGGTAAGACCACGTGGAAACACATAGAAATGGGTTAATAATTAAGACAGAGCTAGCCGATAAGCAACTAGTAATGGGCCAACAGATTATATCAAATACAGAGTCTCGGTGTGCATTATTTGGGGCTGGCGCGGTGGTGGGACAAGACCAGTGGCGGCAGGCGGAAAAACCCAACACCTCACAAAGCAGTGCTAACATTAGGAGCCAGGATGGAATTAGCATCTCAGGACCAGGGAGTGTTCTTTGCCATGGATTAGTATGGTAGATCACTCAGGAACTCAAGACTGAGGTCTAAATAGCTCTACTCCTTTACTTTGCCAGGCAGTAACCCAATGGAGACTGAATCTTAATCAGGTAAAAGTTTTATGTAAATTTCCATATGACCCTGGTATGTCTCAGGATCACCACTACTAGAGTCCTAACACTGCCCTTAAAATTTAAAGGGTGCCCCAAATTTCTCACCTCATTCATATATACATGAAGGGAACACAAAAGGGTTAGAGTTGTAGTAACTACCTTTCAGCGTGTTCTATCCTGTAAACCACTAAAGTTTCCCAGAAACTTGAAAACATTTTTGAAAGCAATTTTGTGAAAATATTTACAAAAAGGTGACTTTGTTCTAAATCTTCAAATTACAGGCACAATAGTTCAGAGACTGATGACATTAACTCTAGTCCAGTACATTATACTGCTATTAATGCCTCACTATCCTCATTGGCAATGAACATGTACCAGAGTTCAGACCTATTTGATGCAGCATAGGTGCTAATGGCTGCTTCTGACACATGACAGGAAATACTCAGTGAACTGCCAAGATATACTCTGACCAGGAAGAAGGCAAAAGCAGAGCAATTCATTCTGGTTCACTAATGCAGAGAACATGCAATTATTAACCAACACTAATTTTGGAAAGTTTGTAGCAAAGGGATGTACTAGTCAGATATGTGTGGAGAGAAAATCATATGACAGCTAAAACTGGGAAGCAAAGAGAGATCTGTTACCAGGAAAGTAAGTGATTGCCCAATTTAACTAACCAAAAACATTAAAATGCACAACATGACTTAGAATATTGCTTCAAATTTCAACTTAACACTGGAGAACAGTAATGCCAACAACTAACTACCTTATACACATGATTCTGAGTCCTGGAATGACCCTGCAGCACTGAGGCTGTATTACTGCATATGTGGGAAGTTATCAAATGCTTCATAATGATTATGTTAAAGGTCATATTTCTCATACACATAACCTCACTTACTATTATGAGTTAGACATGTACATGAACAGACAATGGACTTCTTCCAGTAAATGCAAACTGGCTGAAATTACTGCTGAAGTTGCCAGGCTGTAAGAGAAAAGAGATCAAATTAATGAGGATGAAGTTGTAAAATCAGTTTATGATACAAATTATACTGGGGTCAAGGCTAATAATCACCAACTCCCACATACCCAAATACACTTTTAAAATATGACTCCTCTCCATTTCTCATACTACCACAAACTCTAAGTCAAGCTGTTTCTTACTTTTCTTTCATTCAAATGTACTTGAAAAATCAGTTTATTTTAGCAAACTCCAATTTGATCATGCCACCAATTACAGAAACCCCTGAGGCCTGGCTCCCCACTGCCAGAGGGAGAGAGACATATCTCCTTGGCAGGGCATTCTTGACTCTCCTAAGTTTGGCCAATACTTCAAATTCAGGAGTTTTCAACCTTAGCTGAGTATCAAAACCAGTGGGGAAGCTTTAAAAGAGAAATATGTTGATAGTCCATGCCCTAGAAACTATGTAACAGTTCTGAGATAAGATTCTGAGACTTGCTGTTTTAGGAAATCTGGGTGACACTTCTGAACTTCCAAGACTGAAACACTTAACTAATTTCCCACCTATTGTTGTACCCAGCATAACCTAACTATTCTGTTCTAGACAGAGGTGAAAGCTTGCCTGCCTATAGCCCTCTATTCAGGCAGACTATCTCCTAGACTATCATTTCCTTCCTAACTCTAGTTGCAGCTCCTCCATTCTTCTGAAACCCAGTGAACCTCTACCACTATCTTTAGAATATGCCATTCTGAGCATCCTAAACCCACCATTAATTTCCTCTGTAAATTATTGTATGGCAATGATACTTTCACTGAGGATGTTTCTTTAACACCTTAATCCCTGTATTTCAGGTCCCTAGGGGAAAGTAAACTTTCTCTAGCATCTTTAATTCACACCCCCTAGCCTCTAGCTTCAATAACAGTATTAGGCGTAAATCAGGTACTCATGGGTGCAACACTTAATGATCACTGAATAAATTAAATTCTCTTAAATTTATGAAGTGATTTTTCTTACAGTCTGACAACCTAAGCTGTCAACCTTGAGGGTTGTTTATGCACACAGTGACATGTTTTTCACTAGAAGCATCATTATACCCATGTAGAAATGATAATCACTTGTTCACAAAACCTGACGTGATGTCAAATATCTATTAATATGTTTTCTCTATAGATAGAATAATTTCCATGTTTATGTATTTTGCATGCATATGTATGTATTATGCTATGTGTACATGAGCAGAAAGGGATAGTAAAAGAGACTATCTCTCTACATCTGCTTTAAAAGGCCCTCCCAAGCAAAGGGAGGGACTATCCTAATCCACCAGAGAGCCAGAGTGCTTCTCCCTCGGTTTAAAGAAATGGTTCTCAACCTTTCTAATGGTGAGGCCCTTTAATACAGTTCCTCATGTGTGGTAGCCCTCAGTCATAAAGTTATGTCACTACTACCTCATAACTGTAATTTTATTACTATTATGAATCATAATGTAAATATCTGATATGCAGGATATCTGATATGAGACCCCCCAAGGGATCATGACCCACAAGTTGAGAACCACTGGTTTAGAGTGTTAGGAGCCTATAGGGTAATGTCGGTGGCACAGTCCCCAAAGCCAAGTTGCACTGGAAAGAGAGTAGCCAGCCCAGAGCTCCAGCTCAGACCATAAAGTCCATGATCCATCTCGAGAGCCTTCAGTCACAGAGGTATAGCTTCTCCACAAAACGACCTAATAGATGGCAGCAGCCTAGAGGGGAGCAGCACTGGTTCTTATGAGTTAAACAGTCCTGCGAGTGCTGGCTGAGACACTAAGTATTTATAACATTGTTTTTGTGGAAAATGCCTTCTGTATTCCAAACAACACATCAGATATCCATTCTGGGATAAAGATTATTTCTGAGGTTGGGACTGACTGTATCTTGTTAACTGCACTATGTTCAGTATTTTCCTAGGTTAAGACAGCAGCTAGGGCAGCGTCACTAGAATAACTAGCTGCCATGAACATGGGTCAGAAGTATCCATGAGAATAAACACCAAAGGGTAAGATGGGAAGAAATCCAAGTACACTCTTAGGTTGCTAAATGAATATTGATGAACATTATTAAAGGCTATATTAAATGTTGTGGGAGACAAAAATTAGGAAAGATCTTTGATTTTTAACCTTAACCTAGGTGGGGCACAGCAGATAGACACTTCACAAAAGAAAGCTATGTGGTAAAACAAAGGAATACAAACAAACATGAGATTCAGGTGGGGGGGGGGGCAGAAGGAGAGAGAGGGAGGGAGAGAGGGGGAGAAGGAACAGGAGAGAGAGAAAGACAGGGAGAGGGACAGACACAGGGAGGAGAGGGAGAGGGAAAAGGAGGAGGAAAGAGAAAGGCAAAGGGAGAGAGAGGTGGGGGGGGGGGGAGAGAGGAGCCAGTGCTTTTAGGTGGAAGCTGAAACTTCAAGGAGGTTTTATGGGGTATGGTAGTTTGAATAAGAATGGCCCCTTCCTCAAGACTCAAGTACTTGAACAATGGGACCCCCTGTAGGACCCAGTACTGTTTGGGGAGGTGTAGGAGGTGTGGGCCTTGCTGGAGGATGTACATCACCAGGAGCAGGCTCTGAGATTTCAAAGCCTTACCATTCCCAGTGTCTTCTCATTCTCTCCCCCTTCTCTCTTCACTCTCCCTTTCTCTATGCTTGTGGTCCAAGATGTAAACCCTCAACTTCCTGCTCCAGCTTCCATACCTGCCTACTGCTTATACCTTGCTGTTATGGACTCCAAACACCTGGAACCATAAGACAAAATTAACTCTTTCTTACACAAGCTGTCTTCATTATTATGTTTTATCACAACACAAAATTAATACACATGAGATTTAAGACATAGAAGCAGCAGCAAGTACGGCTTAACAGAAACCACTACAGACATCAGGAGAGTGCAAGTATCATGAATTTAAGAAATTATTGACCTACCACTTCCCAAGACAGATCTCACATACAGGACAACCACAAGGTACTCTGCGAAATTTGAGAGAGACAAAGTGCAAAAGTGTCGTCACCTTTAGTCTTTTCTCTTATGTCTGTCTTCTAACTTCCAAAACTTTCATATAGGATGATGCATGACATTCATCTTTATCTGAAAGCAAATGTAATGGAAGTGTTAAAATAGAAAGAATTGATAGGTAGCTTACAGAAACTAATTAGATGATTGCACCTGAAAAGTAATAAAAATTATATGAAGCACTATAAAATTGATATCTGTTATACTATGAGTCATTTAAGAATCTAAAATAAAACCCTAAGCCCTGCTCAGAGACTTTAAAAAATGAGATATACAATATTCCTCTTCATTTATTTCACTTCAGAATAATAAAACTTGGAGAAAAAAATGTTATTTAATATTTAAGCCTGGTTTAAAGTGACAGACAATCAGGAAAGAATACCATTGAGGTTGGTCCAGTCAGTGCTACAAATAATACAAGGCTTCTGGAACTTCAATTACTACAAGAAAATGAGGGAAGGCTCTACATTCTGGGAAGAAGATAGAGATGAACAACAGAAGACTGACATGCAGTTAAAGGCAAGGGGCTTTGGGTTGAGATTGTATTTTAAGAAATTAACTGCTAGATTCAGCACACGGGGCTTCAATTTCTTTCTTCAATTCTTCAGTGTCTACCTAAAATAAGTCACAAATGTTTTTAGTCAAAAATCATATTCAAGTTTATAGTTTAAAAGCATGACTATCAGGCTGAAGAACTAGCTCAGTGGGTAAGAAAATATATTGCACACATGAACCTGAATCCTAGCACTCATGTAAAGCACTAGACATGGGCATACAGGTGTGCCTACAACTGCAGCATGATGGAGAACAAAGACAGGTCTGGGGCTGGAGTCAGGAGAAATACCTGGGCTTGTTGGCTACTACAGTAGCTCCAGATTCAATAAGAGACCCCAAAACCCAGCCTTAAAGGAACAAGGTAGAGAATGATGTAGTAGACCACCTGATTACTTCCTCTGGCCTCTACACGTGCTACAGGCACTCACATACACACCCTACATTTACACGCATACAAACATACACTCTCTAAATGAATTTGGTTATTGTATACTTGTACATGGATGAGATACTGTGAGAGGACTCCATAGGCAGGGAATCTCTTTCGTTACTGCAGGAGCCAAGATGAGAAGAATCTGGCACAACTGCAATAGGGTAAAATATTAAAAACTCACTGAAGATATCCTTCAGAGGGGGAAGTAGATTAATGACCCCATCAATCACCCCAGTCTAACAACTGGAACCACCATCAACCTTGCCATACAATGACAAACACAGATGATCTGAGCTGTAATAGTCTGTCTTTCTAATCAGAGGCATTAACTAGAACCTTAAGAAATCTGTTCTAGAAGATTAGAGCCCAATCTGTGACCAAAAGATAGAACACATTACACTCATCTGTCTGAAAGGTCAGCAGCTTCAGAGTGGTCATGGGACTTCTTGCACTGCTCTGAGTTAGTGTTTGTTCATCTCATAAATATTTTATTTATGTGAGGATGGGATTCCACACAAGATTGGTATCTGCCAATGAAAGAAAGGGGGGGGGAAGGGGGGGTAGTGACCTGCCCTGTTCTGTCTCCTCAGGGAAGAAATCTGAGATGGACTCTGTGGTCACTTTTGATCTAAGAAATTTCAGGTAGGCAGTGAAAGAAAATAGGAAGTTTCTATGAATTGGTGGATTTAAAAAAAAAAGAAGTAGAATTAGTATTTATGATTATCATTTAAAATCTTTTCATAGGGCAGATACAAATTTAAAAATTAAGCTATATTTTAAAGTTATTTTGGTTACCTGATATCAAAAGACCAGCTCTGAAAACATGCATAGGAGTAAGATTACTGAGCAAGTTGTATTTAGAAAAATACATACATAATACATACATACATATATGTGTGTACATATAAATATAAACACATTATATATAACAACAATTAATTTAAAAGAGGCTATAACTTTGAAAAAGAACAAGGAGGGGTAGATGGGTTTGGAGAAAGGAAAGGTAAGGGAGAAATGATGTAATTATATTATAATCTCAAGAATAAAATAATTTTTAAAAAAGCATATTGCTCTCTCACAAGCTAACACTCATTTCAGTAGCTGCTCAGGGCCCAGCAAATGCTATTCTCAGCCTAAAACAGAGAAATTTCTCTATGTAATGAATGAACTTGTCTATATAAAGAGATGCATGGCTGATCAGTGTGCTGAGAAAAGTGACAGTTGATGTTCAGCTCCAAACAGGACTCCAAGACTCAGAGAAGATCTAAGAAGAGGCAGAAAGAATGTTAATAGCTCAATGATGGGGAGAAGGCCTTTGAGATGCTATCTTGTAAGCACAACAGGCAATATAATCATGACATCACAGAAACTTCAGCTGACTGCAATAGGCCTGCACAAGACTGGGTCTTAATACTCAATTGTGGATAGGGAGAAGTTCATGGAGCCCTGCCATCCCAACTGAACTACTGGGTACTGATGGATTCTGGAAGGGTAGCCATTATCTTCAGTTCTACCAGGCTTCAGTGAACAACGAAGCTTCATACCCATTGTGACGGCTATTCTTGGTTGCCAATTTAACTACATCCGGAAATCATCTAAAACTCAAATGGTTGGACACACCTGTGAAGGATTTTTTTTTTCTTAATTATTTGAAGTAGGAAGACTCAATTCTAATTAAGATCTTTGAGATGAGAAGTTACACAATTAATCTAGATTTTTTTAAGGTGGGAAAATTCACCTTTAACCTGGGTCACCTTCTGCTGACAGCCTATATAAGGGGCATGGAAGAAGGAAGTATTCATTCTCATTTTTTCTCTCTCTCTCATTAGAAAGTCTATTCCTTCACTGGTATTAGAGCCCACTTCTTTGGGATTCTGGCATATACTGAAGACCAGCTGAGAACATTCAAACTCCTAGACTGAACAACTACTGAATTCTTGGACCTTTCATTGGTAGACAACCATTGTTGGACTAGGTGAACCACAGCCTGTAAGCCATTCTAATAAATAAATAAATACCGTGTGTGTGTGTGTGTGTGTGTGTGTGTGTGTGTGTTGTATATATTCTGTAAGTTCTGTTACTCTAGGGAACCCTGACTAATACACCCATGAGAACATAACTGACCTCAGTTAAACTCTGAGTCACAAAACAAAATTTGAATGGCAGAAAGGGACTTGAAAAGAGGGGTGAAGTGCTTATAAGGGGATCTAGAAAGGTTAGAGGATGTACTCATATTATATATGTATGAACTCTGTCAAAGAACAAATACAGTAAGTTATATAAGAACAAAGAGAAATCCCCAAATGATCTGACAGTAACCAGTATTAACATAGTCTTTGGGAACAGCTGTGTATGTGTGTCTCCTCTGTGTCTATACTGAAGGAGGTGGGAAGACACAGACACAGTAAGATACAACCGCTTCCCTATACCCATGATGAACATCCAAGCAGGGAAGAGCAGTGCACTGGCAGCAGCTATGAAGCATGTATATGACACCAGGGAGCACAGTGTGAGATAGGAATTTTATCAACTAGATCTCCTTTACTGCATTTCACCAACTGATTTTGGAAATGGTCATTTACAAATCTTGGTATTTTCTAAACAAAGTGAGTTTATAGATGACAGAAGAAGCTAGTACTCACAAAAGTTTTAAGTAAGTAATCTTTTACAAGGAAGATTTTTTTTTCTTTTTGCTTTTTATTCTTAAGGTCACAAAAGGAGTTTAGACTAAAGAAAAACATATAGAAACAGTACAACAAAACAAAAATGCAAAACAAACAAAAAAATCTGTCTCCTGTTATCCTACTCTCTGTTATCACCTCAACCTGTTCCTCTGATCCCCTGGAGATAACTTAACATGTTTGGTTAACTGCTGATCATTGAAAGCAACACTGCAACAAGTTTCAATGACACTTTGTGGATCTGCATATACGGGCAGTGTGTGGGAGAGACACTTCAAAATCTGTTCTGCAGGATATTTTTTTATATTTAAAAAATATATATTTAAACATAAAAAACATGCATGTAATATCAAAACTAGCAAAATAATTTTGTGTGTGCCTTAGTATAGCATTTTTACACAATGGAGATAAAATGTCTATTTAAAAATCTATATAATGATTTTTAATAAAGCGGGGCTGCAGAGATAGCTCAGTTAGCAATGTACTCACTATAATCATGAATACCAAAGTTAGGGTCCCCATTATTCATGTAAAAGTAGGGCACAACTGCATATACCTGTGACTCTAATTATAGGGATCTGGGAGACAGAGTTCATCAGGCAGTCAGCCTAGTCAAATCAATAAACTCCAGGCCCAGTGAGAGACACTGCTTCAAAAACTACAGAAGAGAGTGGTCAAGGCAAGGAAGACCTCCAACATCAACCTACGGCAGCATCTCGATGCACAAACACCTGTGTGTTTACACATATATAAACACACAATAACACATACAAATATAAACACATGCACAGTAATACTAATATGAAAGGGAAAATAATGTGAGCTTGCACATCTAAAATATATCCTCCAAGTCAGCAATCATTTTTCAAGACTTAAATACAAGTTTGTGCATAAACACAGTCCTGTATTTTAATAAACATGGCAAAGTACATATAACCTAATGTTCTATATTTTAATCCACTTATTTGTGTAGCTCCATAGCATTCTGTTCATTCACATTGCTGCAGGCATCTGTGCACAGAATGTTTTCCATCTTGCAAAACTGCAATTCTTCATATAATAAGTAAGCCCCTGAAATTTACTTTAGAAATGATTTAACAGCAGGTGTTTTACTTGTGGGTCAACAATCTTTTAAGGGGTTTAGAAGCTAAAAGCTCAGGGATACCCAGGAATTTGCTGGCTGGATGAGAGAACCAGCACCCAAAAGCAGGTCAATAGGCACCCTCTGCAGTGATGGTGATCTTTACTGCTTTTTCCATAGCTGATCTGCAGGAAATTTTAATAAGCATTTCCACAGAAGAGAGGAAAGAAATTAGAAGGACAGAGTAGGTGTGTCCAAGTTCACATAAAGGAAATCTGTGCTATAAAAAATACAAAAGCACACTGTGATTACTCTCAAATCCCCCTAAAATTAGCCAACAAACCCTTT